GTGGACCTGGAGCGGGAATCAGGACAACGAAAATCGAAACCAGGCAAAAGGATATGAAGGCCGGGCCTAATCACGTGGCGACAGCACTCGTATATTGTTACATGTAATGCGGAGTGAGGGCCTCGTTCTGCCAGACGTCAGAGCATTGACATTGATTTGTTTTTTGGCCAGTTTTGGCGAGGATGAGAGGTTTGCTCTACTTTCTATCCCCACCGACTGTATCTCACTTATTCTATGGTAAGGCGGAGAGGGAGAGGGGATTCTAATACGCTTTTGATTTGCCGAAATTCCATTTTTCACAATTTAATGCGCATTTCGCTACGTGTTGTCGTCACCGGGGCCATCTGGAACGTGCCTGGAGCCGCTGGGCCGTGTCCGGAAAACACGCAGGCACTAAGGGCGGCTCCTCGCTCCGGCCGTCTCCAACTTCGGCTCACATCTATCATAGTCCGGGCATTTGTCACGTGAGGGACAACGTGATTTCATTTTCCTGTCGCCATAAAGGTGACACATTGCATTCACCGACGCTCTCGGTCCATTTGTTGTGTATTAGTCTAAGAGGGATTACCTAGTATTCTCGGATTCGGATTTTTCACGAGGCGGCGTATTTCCAAAAGCATTAAATGACGCGTTTTAGACTTGTGTTGGAAGAGGTGGGGCGACGGTGGCGTATGCTTAATAAATATTGAAGCGCAACCTCCACAAAGGAGGAGTTTATTTGGCGGTTCGGTTGGTCGAGCGAGAAGTGTTCCATTGATTTTCGTGGCACAGGCTGGATAACATGTTGTTAAACCACAGCAACGCGAGCAAACAAATTACCCACAGCAGTTGCCCAAAAATTGTTGAACATAACTTCAGATTTTATGGCCCACATGTGTGCGAACGTAGCGAGCAAGTGGCGGTGCAGTGGCGGGGTATTCATTGTGGGTTTGCTATTTTGGTGGTCTGCCGACTCGGTGGGGTGGGTACACTATCCGAGTTTACTATCAGTTTGCCCGGCCAATGTGGGGCTGCGAAATTAGCGCTTCGCTGCCCCGACACCCACCACTCCTACTAACCTGGCCAAGAAGGACTTTGGGCCACACTCTTCCCACCCATCCTGCCCGTCTTCGCCGCTGTTACCCGCAGCCGACACCGACTTGTTCTGCGTCTTTTGCGGCTTGGCCAAGTTTCATGTCAAAAGTGCACTCCATGAATATTTCACTTGCAATCACATTGTTTTCCCGCTAACTTTTTAGATTGTTTTAACATGTGGCTGAAAGGGGCGTGGCCGGCGCAGGGCAGAGTGGCACGTAACGTTGCAACAACAGTATCAAACTTTGGTTTTCACTCAATTTTGGCAATGCTTACTTGCCCCAAAACCTTGGCTCCTCTACTGCTCTATGCTCCATCTCCAGACACGAAAACTGTTTGAAAATTGTGTGGCGATGCACGGAAAGAAAAGTCGACGAAAAATTAAAAAAAATATGCTTTAAAAATTAGGTAATTCGAGGGTTTTCAGTAGCCAGAGCATCGTTACATTATTGTGGCTTAATGTTGGTTTTAAATTTTATATTTTTTATGTTTTATTTTTCTTTCTAAATCTGTAAATTGGCTTAAGAATATGTTGCTGTATGTGCTGAGGTAATCCTTGATTCCCTTGTGCTAAATTTGCCAGTTGAGTTCGGTTGGGCTCCCTACCTCCCTAGTAACCAGCCCCATCGACCCCTTTTCACCCGTCAGATTGCCCTTTGTGCTCAGCACGTTAATAGTGCTGGAGGGGCTTTCATGGAGAACTTCCATTTGCTTTGGATCTCCGGCTCTGGCCGAAATGTGGGAGATTTATGCAGACGTCTGGCTAGTCAGCCAGCGGCCGATATGGAGCCCCCTCCGGTATAAGTAGCCGCTTAAAGATATTACGTGTTTGCCATTGCCGGGTGCTAGTTGCCATGAAATGCACCTGCTAAGATCTGCTCCTTGGCCTCTTTATCATCGGATTTTCCCTCGGCGAGTGTTGGCTTAAAGTTGTTTCCCATAGTTCCTTCGCTCAACCCTCAACGTGGCGCTTAATGAATTTCCATTTTTTCCCGCAGCCACTGCTACTGTTTGTCCTGGAACAGGTAGTGGGGTAAGTTCCCGGCAAGCTGCCGCCATTCCATTTGTCGCAGTTGCAGCTCCGGTGGAAAAGGTAAATACAAAAAAATGGCACACGGCACACCAGAGCAGAACAGGTGCGTCCCCGAGCCGCCATCGCGTTGCACTCGAAATTACAACAGTTGCAACATCTGTTGCTTTTTATACAACCATCGCAGACTGTTGTAGTTGTAGCTGGAACCCGTGGCTTTTTTATATATTATGCACTTTGCGTGCTACCGAAAATTTTTCAATTTTTGCCTAGTCTCTGGGCACTGGAGGCGTTACTTCATAGCACACTTTCTGATGAAGGTCAGCGGGCGGAGCTCGTGAATGAATGGATGAAGCTGTCGGGGAAATAAAAAACTTGTTTGATAATTTTCTACTCAAATTGAATATTTGCAACTGTATTTTATGTGAGTGGTATGGGTGTGGGTGTGGGCGAGTGGGTGTGTTAGAGGCAAACTTTTCTTATTCTCTGCGAATAACTTTAATGGAAAAACTTTGAATATGAAACCACAAAAACAAAAAATACTGGCCAGCGAACTGGGAAAGAGGCCCTCCGGACCAGACCGGGCACTAAAAATTGGAAAATTGAAATTGAATTGTAAAGACACATACACAGACACAAGAACAAGCGACCAACTGACCAGACGCAAATAGAAACTTCGCATTTCGACTCCGGTTCAATGAGTGCACATTCACCTCAGGGGATCGAATCTGAATCTGAATCGGAGAATTTGAAATAAAATCAAGTAAATATGCAGAAATATTCCAGAGGCACGTGTGTACGTGTATGAGAGGCTGAGAGAGTGCCTTTCATCTGGCGAAGCATCCCCAGCATCCGCGGATCAGTGCCCCAAGTGGCACAAAGTCATTTGGTTTATTAGCACTCGAATGCCAAATCCCCAGACGGCAGACAGTCGTCGTCAGTCGCCGGAAACCCTTCCGAGCAGGAACTTCAAAAGCACAGGCGATGAACAAAACTTCTCCCCGACTGACATCATTTCGTTATTATCCGCATCAAGGACTCGATTGACAGGAGCAGAGGCACGTGCTGCCAACGCCTTTATCCGCCTTGCGAGGAGCAAGGAGACTTGCGAAAATATTGTCACAAGCACCGAAAGCCGAATAGCCAACTGGCTACAAAAGAAATTATATTTACAGCCCAAGATGGGAGCTGTGGGGATGGATGGGCGACAAAAAAAAAACACAACTAGGCGGCACAAAAGTCAGGTCAAACAGCAAAACATTGAGAGGCAAAAAGCCAAGAGTAGAGGAATCAAATAAAATGCTAGCTACATGGCATCGAGGGTCCTGCCAAGTCCTGGCAGGTCCTGCCGCCTGACAGCCTCCACTCTACGCAAGTGCGTGCTGCTGACTTTTGGCTTTGCTTACCTATTTTCTCCAAGGTCCTGGTCGAGTCCTTCCTCGGAGGCCTCCCCCGACCTCTTCACGAATGTTTTCGCAGCAGATAAATACAACATTTGACACTTCATTATTGTGCCCGCAGCGTAATCGAATCAATTCAATTCCAGGACCTCGGCTCGCCTTGTCATGGTGTCAAAAGTGCTTGGTCCTCGATCCTAGGTCCGCATCCGCATCCTCATCCCCTCCCGCACCCGCACTCGCATCCGCATTGTTCATCGCTCAACATTCGCCCAGAGCCCCAAGGCTCAAGGCAGCTTGCCCTGTTGACACATTCGCTTAAACGTATTAAATTGTTTGCCTTCGCCTTTTGGCATTGTCCTTGTTTTTGTTGCTTCTGGCGCTGACGCACAGTTTTTTGTGTTTTTTTTTTTTTTCCTCGCCGCTCGCTTGTTATTTTCCTCGTCCAGGACTCACAATTTCAATGGGTCCTTGCGTGCGGAAGTCGTCCGGCTTGTATCTGCGCGCCCCCGTCTGTCACACTAAAAGTAATCGATTACCTTGTAACCGGATACGAGCGTATCCGTTTTGGGACTTGCTCGCAATTCACGATTTCCCAAAAGTCGCCCGGACGGACAAATAATGACGGGAGCTGGGAGCTGCAGCATTTAATTGAGTTTAATTGGGGCCGGCCGCAATGCCTGGCTATTTATGCAATAATCATTGTTTAATTACAAAACCAAATAAATACCCTAATGCCTAATGCCTAATGTCGGGACTGCATGCAGTGAGCTTTGATGTGGTCTCCGGTCGGGGGGCTGAATAAATTATGCAAGACACAAATTTTCCGTAATGCGCTATTGCGTGCGCTTGCGGGTGCCTTTGTATTTTGGGCCGTACTGGGGCCTGCAAGCAATTGAATTAATTCAGGGCTCAGTGGGGAATTGGGCCAAAAACATGCTTTAATATTTAAGTGCATTTTAACACTTTACAATACCACACAGACACCTACAACACCGACACCGACAACATGTCTAAGCTAGTATCCTTGCACTTAAACACACACAGGCCAGCCAGCACACAGCACACTCTTATCCACTTTGGTTTTGACATATAAAATTGATTAGCAAATCAACAGCAAGTGCATTAAATTATTTCCCCATCCATTCCAATCATATATGTGCGCACTTGGCCTGTGCGTAAATTTGACAACTTTCATTGGATGGGCATAATAAAATGCACTTTATGAACTTTCGGACGTTTGACAAATATTCTTAAATGCACTAAACCAATTATCCAAAGACACACACATACCCGTACTGGTACTCGAACCCATGATGTTGATCTAAATGGTCAGAGTGTTCTCGAAATTTGTGTACACAAGCTGGCCAGCTCTTAGCTCCCAATGTTTGCCTGGCGAGTAATAATATTTTGAGTAATTTACTTTGTATTTTAAACGAAAATAGCAAAAGGCATCTGATATTAAAATCTAGTCTCTCTGTCCTTCTTGTCTTTTGCAGCGTCTGCCCAGAGCATGTTGTCCAAAAACGAGCCCATGTTCATATCACGTTCGGAGACATTCAAATTCATCACCGGCGAGACAATAGTCCTGCCCTGCGAGGTGGCCAACACGGGTAAGTTTGTAGCTGTAAGATGAAGGATTCCCAGGAAAACCCAAAGCCGGAAAACTCATTTTCCACCCGGCATACCAACACGGGCCGATTCGCCCACGCAGCTTGCATTTAAATGCTGCGGTCGAAGGCTCTGCCATACAAATAATTAAGCCCACATTATGCGATGGCCGCAACTATGCATTAATCCCTCGGCCGGACCCGGGCGGGTGGGCTACAAATTCACTGCCCTAGTGTCTGTCCGGGGACCGCAGAAAAACAGAAGCAGTAGCGGTCAAAGCGGACAACTGGAGATGTGTCCGTCCAAGACATCCGGATGTGGATGGACATGTGTAGTGGTTGCGGCTGTGGTCGTTCGCTCCCCTCAAGTCTTGGCATTTGAGCGGTGGCCGGGCCATGTACGTTTTTCAATTTAAATGCGGTCGTGTGTGCAAGATTATTTGTACATAACAAGGATTTAGCATAAGCAACAGCAGCAGCCAGCCAGGGCTCGGGGAGGCACTGGGAAGATGGGACATGTGGCTAAAATAAAATAAACCAGGGCCAAGACAGTGCCGCCCAAGATGGTCAAATCTAATGCCACTCGGCGACCGACAAAATGCTACATAAAAACTCTCCGACCCAAAACACTTGGAGCTCACATTTTATGGATGCATATGGAAAAATAAGGACTAGGGCTTTCAGGACACACTTTTTTTTGTCAGAATTAAATTTAATATTTTATTAAAACTTTTTTTTTATTATTTAAAGTAAATAAAAAATACATATTTTTATATATTCGTAATAAAAAAATTAGTTTTTCTGCGTGTATGTGGCGCTCGTAACATTTACACACATATGCACACAAGATGTCTGCGGTCGGAGTATCCGTTCATAAGAAAAGGAAATACAGAACAAAGAATTTCATTTGCGTTTCTCATGCACTTGATTGCCTCCGAAGATGTCTACAACTTTGACCAGGACTCAGACGAAGATGAAGTCGAAGGACGAGACAGTCTTAGGAGAGAGAGAAACAAGGGCGAGTCTGTGGCAACGCCAACGATGCGATACATAGACAATTTCTGCAGCAAAATTATAGCTGCGGGCATTTGGGTACTAATAATAAAGAAAAAAAATAGAAGAAAGCAGGGAAGCTTCAGAAAGTAAATATAAAAAGAAAAACACGGCAGGGTAAGGGAAATAAATTGCCTCAGCGTTGGTTTACTCTGCAGGACCTTTACTTTCCGAGGGCTTTGCTGCTCTACCGGTGAGTCCCCCTGGCTAATGCCACATTATGCTAATAAAGTGTCGCTACGACAATTTCATTATACTCGCTGCTAAGTCGCGCCCCTTAAATGAAATGCAACTAATTAAAAAGTGAAGCCGCAACGCGATGTGCCGCCTTTTTATATTAGCACATACTTTATGGAGGCGCCATCTGAACGGCACAAAATATGATCGGGAACGAGTATCCTGCGATTTGACGTGACTGTGGGTGCAGGTGAACCGTAACACATCGCGGCATATCCCTTTTTATGGCCCCGCACATAAAGTGTAAAAAATAATTGATAGAATTTTTAAAACCCCACTAAAACCAGAGAGTTTAGTCGTGGAACTCTCTGGCCCCAGCACTTTGTACAATTTATGCGCATTTTCATTTCGTTTTATGGATGCAAGCTCGTAAAATTCGAAAAAGAAAGAAATCACACAAAGGACGATGCATGTAATGGGTGGGTGAGTGAGTGTGCGAGTGTTGGCATTTCCATATTATATGAAATGCCTTTAAACACTTATTACGGAGCTTTGCACCCCGAAAGAGTAATCTTTCGGCTTGACTGTGCCTCCCCAGATACCCGCCATATCTTTATCCTTAGTCGTCCTGTCTGACGGCGAGTAAGCACTGGAACATTTCATCATTATCATTTCATTTGAATTTTTATTTGTTCTTCAATGTCTGGCACGCCAAGTGTGTTTATTTCATTGTCTGCGTCGGTTGTATCTTCTGTTTATTTTCACTTTTTCTCAAGCTTTTTCTTTTTTTGCATTTGCTTCTTGGGAATTTTCATTTTTCCTCTAGGCGGGTAGAAACTATAAGGAATAAAGTGGAAAGTCTTGTACTTGAGCCAGTCGGTTATTTGAATTTTTGAAAAGTTCACAGTCGAGAGGCAGCTTTGATCATTAGACGAAAAGTGCATTCATCTCCCAGTCACCTTTTCGGACCAATTTCAAAGTCCTTTTGCCTGAAACGATACAGTCCTGCCAAAGAAAACAAACACCGACAGGCGGCAAATTGTTCTTTTTGGGACACATTTTGCCAGGATGCCAGGATGCCTGGACAAATTTGCATGCTAATCCCGACAATCAGTTTGTTGTCCATTCTGCCTTGTGAATCGAGTAAATATTATTATATAATTTATGCTTGCACACTTTGGCGAGCAAATTCTTAAAATTCCAAAAATGTAGATAGGCCACACGCTTAATCTATTTGAAATCCGATTTAATATTACTTCATAATATTTTCATTGAGAAGCCACTGCTATGGAGTTTCATGCAGCTGTTGTAGCTGGAGTGTTGCAATTTTTAAGCTTTTCTAAATCGGCTAATTAATTGCTCTGGCCATTTTATCCGCTGCTCAACTTGTCTGCGTGCAAAGCCCTTTTATGCCCGCCGACTGGCCGAGTGTCGTGTGAATTTTTCATTGCGGTTTTGCCACAACAAAGAAGGGCAAAAATAGCAAAAACATCAGTAAGCCAGTGGAAAAACATTTAACAACTGGTAACTGGTCGTTGGCAAACTGGCTACTACTGCCTGGAAACGGGCTGTAACTTGTAAACTCAAATGCAATAAAATTCAAAACACAAAAACCCCGTCATTGCGGCCATACAAACGCTCATTACGCTTTGATGGAGCGTCGGCGCTCGAAACTATTACCCGGCAAACGGAAATGGAATCGTACCGCAAAAGTTGAAGTTGTGCAAACAGCAGAACGAAGTCCATGCCACTGCGTCCTGGATTTACTGCGGGGAGGGGAGTGGAGAGCGTAGGCAACAAAGTTTCAATATTAATGCCATTTACAGTTCTAATTTCGCTTTTTACGGTACTAACACGCACACACACACACTGTATACACTTAACACAATCCCCCTTCTGGCAGGCACACAGAGAAAGTTCTACAAGAAGTTGCAGATAAGTCCGGTGCCCCTCAACGCTCCAGTTTGCCTCAGGCGGCTAAGCCGCAACATCGTTTATCTTCGGGGGTCATCATCTTATAATATTGGCCTTTCCGACATGCAATAAATTGCGCTCAGACAAACAACATGTCCGTTGGTCGGCCTTTGGTCCTCCTCGTCCGTGTAAGTAGTTCTTGTTGCTGCACTGCGAGAAAATCCAGCAAGGGGCCGCAAGGATGGCTGGCATATTGCGCATACGCACAGTATGCCCCGGGCAAACAGACAAAGGCGCTGCAACAATGCCGGCTTTGGCCATATTTGAATGGCCTATGTTTCTGTGTGTTACAGCACAGCCACATATGGCTATCTGTGTTTGTGAGTGTGCGAATGTGTGTATCTCTGTCACTGGGTAAAGTGTAGAAAACTAAAAGTTAGCTTTCGGCTGTAAACAATGAACAAGCGCTCTCTGCAGCTATCCGGCCGGCAGGACATGTGGTCGGCCATTTGTCCAGGAGGCCGTGTTTATGTGAGCCCAGTTCGTTGTACTGACGGACAGACAAAAACCGAAATGCTTTTACCAAGTTTCCGCCCCATGCCAGACACTCGTTCATCCTCATCCGCTGCTGCTCCTGCTCCAGCTCCTGGTTCCCGGATCCCTGCCTCCTACATCCTTCACCCTTCTCTCAGTACTGTTTTATTCCAGGATTGCCGCTCGCTTAACGGCGCAATTGTTTGCATGTATTGTTGTCGTAATGCCCGAGTCCTGCCAGCGATCCTTGACTACGGGATATATCAGAGTGTGTCTGTGTGTGTTGGTTTCTATTTAGTTTAGAACACTTAAACCGGAAATTGAGGCGTTTCGTGTTTTGCTTGTTTTCGTTAGATTGTTGTTATTTTAGTTAACAATTTATTTAGTTGCAGCCGGCAGTCGGGTACACCCCCCCCCCCCCCCCCCCCCCACACTTACAAGGGCTCTAATTTATGTGAGCCCGTGCAACGGACACAGGACTCCAGCAGAGTCCTGGCAAGCTGCTCAATCTTGGCTCATACGGAACAAAGGCATGCCCGGCTCCCTTCGCAGACTCGGCCAATATGTTGGCCGAAATTTTCATCAAAAAATTGAATTTCTTTACATTGTGGAAGTATCTATTGGGCGAAAAACAAAGGCACTGGTATATTCTAAAGCATTACCGAAGGAAACTGACAGCTTTTAGGACAATGCCAGCCAATTAGTCTCAACTTTTGGTAATTAACCTATCGAGTGCCTCGTAAATCCCTTGTGGAAAGCAACTAATTGACAGAATAAAATTTCGTACAGCATATGGTTGAAGGCAATTTGAAAAAGCATTGCCCAATTTGCATATCCTGGCAATGTAGGAACTGCAACAACTGCAACCACCGTTGCTTCATTCATAACTCAATCAAGCGGCTAATATGATATGACTGCACTTCGCCAGCACGTCCAACTTGCAACACTCGGCTGGCAGCCCTGAGCTCCAGCTCCATGCCATTCCTGATTCCTAAGCAGGATGCATGCAAGGACTCACCGCCGTGGCAGCCTAAAGAATTATGCTTTCCGCTCTATGCGAACTCTTGCTGTGCAGCAAGGACACCGTTCTCCATTCTCCGTTCTCCACTTGCCATTCCATTGGCGTAACCACAAGCCTGCCACGTCTCCACCTCCGAGCCCTTTTGGAGCACGCTAACGACAGCAGGTGGTGCTCGTTTATTTATTTGTTTTTGCAGTGCACTACGCCTGCATTGCCTTTCAGGTTTTACGGGTTCTGCTGGTGCAGGTCCTGGTGTGGGTCCTGGTGTGGGCCCCGGTGCCGCGACGCCTTGGCTTGTTGATGTTGTTGAACTCATTGCAAATAAATACGCTTTTTGAATGCGCATGTAAATGACTTCATAAGCATTTTATTACAGCCGAGGTCCTAGTGACTGCAAGTGTGCGTTGGTGTGTGTGCGTATGCGGTGAAATCAATTTGAGAAAGGACGCGAAAGGACACCGGTGCTCATACATCATTTACCTCCCCCTACCCGGGATTTTTCAACACCCGGTGCGGGGAAGAACACACTTAGTCGTCGATGGCGGGCAAAATTGTTTTAATTTTTAATGAATGCCGCTCGTTGGCGCCGAAACACGGAAGTCATACATCATTAGTAGCAAATCCGGCAGCTTCAATACACATTTTCCATACTTCTCCGTCCCCAGCTCCAGCTCCTCTCTCCTTCTCCGCCTCATCGCTACCTCTTTCAATCAGTTTTCGTCCCGATTCGTCCTTTTTGCCCTTCCCATCACTGCCTTGCACGCGCACGGAAATTTACATCGAGCAACTCACATAAATTGAAAAAGGAATCACAATTAATGAGTTCGATGAATACGCCATTGCCATTGGACTGTTAGAAATGGGTGTGTGTGTGTTTGAGTTTGTCTATTGATGTGTTTGATTAGGGTGGACCAAAAGCGGTTCAATAATGCCATATTAAGTATTCCCGTTTGTGAAAGGTATTTGTTGCATCAAATATTTTTCTCTTTTTATGTTTATAAAACAATTTAAATAATTATAAAATGTTTAATATTTCCCAGTTGATTATAAACTTTTTTAAGCTCATTACAAATTCGGGATAATAAGTTTAGAAATTGTTCATTTTCACAAATGGTGTCCACCCCAGGGAACGCCAATATGTGTGCTATGCTGTAGCACTGTCTGTCTGACTGGCATCCTTCCTACAGCATCCTGCTGGTGCTGTTGAGAGCATCCTGGTGTCTGACTGCCTCTCGTCCTGGCGTATGATTGCAAATGCCGCACATTAGCGGATATCAAGTGGGTGTTACTGAGTGCCTGTCTGACTCTCATCCAGTGTTGTTCCCGCCGCCTGTCTGCGGTTTATATTCCACTCCTGCCTTTGGAGTCCTGCCTTTGGCTGCGAGTGTGTGATTGTGTGTGCTGGTCCATGCCAAATTGAATTTCTAGCCTTTTTAGATCCTACGAAGCGGCCCGTAATTGAGCCATTTGAATACTGGCTTTTCAATTTACGCTGCCTCTGCCACACTGCCACTGCCACTCTGCCACTTCCACTGAAATGCAGGCCACATTCGTCGATTTAATAACTCTCGAACATAATTTATCAATTATAACTTCCACTTATTGATGATTACAATATTGGTATTTCCATTGCAGATGCATACGTTGTGGCCTGGAAGCGCGGCATTGCCATATTAACGGCCGGATCTGTGAAAGTAACACCCGATCCTCGAGTACGCCTGGTCAACGGATTCAATCTCCAGATACGCGACGCCCAGCCCACGGATGCCGGAGATTATATCTGCCAGATTGCCACCATGGATCCGAGGGAAATCACCCACACGGTGGAGATACTGGGTAAGTAGGTCGATGGCTTTTTGCCAACAAATTTGCCGACTGACTTTTTGGGAAAGCGTGGCCGGGCCCGGGCCCTGGCGCATTGTTATGCAAAGTTCCAATCTCCCAGATTGACGTTCCATGGGATTTTTATGGGTGGAAATTTATGCGGCCTACTCAAATCACTTGGGCCCCATTGTTAGGCTTCATCATTTGGGCACCTCTGCTATCGGGTGTGTGTGTTGGTCAAATTAACATATCCTTACATCCTTAGTGCTCAGTGCTTAGTGCTTTATGCGTCCGGGCCACTCAAATATGCAAAGTAGCTTGGCTGCAATTTGGCCGCTTTACGGCCAAAGATTCAATAGAGAGTGGAATTTTTGGAGCGGCGAAAAAATCAAAACTAATCTGCCATTTGCCCCGGAATCGCTGCTCATCCCAAAAAAGAGGACGCAGGACGCCGGACCCTGGGTAGATCCCGGGGCGGGCAGTCGAAGAATCAGAGAGCGGATGCAAATTGTTGGGTCTCGGCTCCTTGGCTCCTTGGCTCCCGGGTCCTGCTCAACTACTTCCTGCCGGGGACCCGTTGTGCCTAACAAGCGCACGACTCCGGCCGGGCTTTGAGCTTTGTTTCTGACTGTTACTTCCATCCATTTCACCCGTCATCTCCTCAATCCCAATCCACCTCCTTTTCTTTTACTTTTTGGTTCCTCCATCATCCCCGGCTCCCTTTTGGCATGCGTCTTTGGCAAGGCTTCTAATCAGCAATGATGAATAATTTACATATATTTCCCCCCAATTACAATGTTGCCCTTTATTTGCATACTGGCCTGGTGTGGAGGCGTGCGTGTGTGTGTAGGGGGGCCACGCCTTTTAGCCAGGCTAACACTTCCTTTTAACTGCGCCACGAGCTCTGACGGAGCTGTATGTGTGCGGTGCATGCAAATTGCGATACAATTCCCCAAATCTCCAAAGTGCCATGCTCTCCTCTTTTGTGTGCTCGGTATCAGTCTTCAGCTCTTAAACTCTGCTCCTCAGCTGGCTAGAAATCGATTCGAAAATAGTTTTATTGCACTCTTTAAAATACTTTAATCTTAAATGCATGGATACTTGCTTGGGCATTATTCTCCGGGCAGGCCTATAAAAAATGCGTATTTATTTTAGCAGCGGCAACTTTTTTCATTTGTCATTGAAACTTGGTCCTGGCTTGTGGTCCTGCTTCTGCTCCCGTTCGGGCTCCGGCTCCTCCTCCTTCTGGGCGTCGTCGCCGCAAGCAAACATTAAACGAAGACTCCTTTTTGGAGTGAGAGGAAAAATCAGGACAACAACACCAACCAGGACGACAACAAACCGACAAAGAGGGAGAGGCCGGGGCGTGTGCGAGTTGGGGAAAAAAGTCGATTATTGAAAAGTTTTGTTTATTTTATGTGTTTATTATGCGCTCCGTTTGCCAAATAATGATCATGGCCAGAAATATTTCGTTTATTGAACTTTTGCAGCGCACGTAAATTTCTCGCCCAGTTTTTGTGCTGGGCCCCTTACTTTTAGCCTGGTCCTCGTCGCCTTATCCTGGGGGAAAGCCAAAAGCCTCCCCAATCCTCAATCCCCAATCTCCATTATTGTCAAAGGAGAAAACAGGAAAAATAATGCGCTGTCGAAGTTTTTATAGGCTCGGCAAACGTCGGACAGCCATGTTCCTCAGCCCCATCCCAAAATGAGATCCCAAAAATCCTGAATGCCGTATCCAGGCACCAGACTCCAGATTCCAGAAACCCAAAAACCCACCATGTGTCCCGGCGTATTCGTATATAAATTTCATAAAGTTTGCCGCTCTCTGGCATCTCGGCTTGGCAGTTTTTACGAGCGTAAATTACTTTCAGTTTGGCTCGCACTAAAGATGAAAAAATAATGTCCGCCACTGCCAAAGTTTTGCACTTGGCCATCGCAGCACTTACAAAGACATTAGCCGGCGATGGCCAAAAAATGGACCAGTCGGCCGTTGCCGTTGCCGTTGCCGTTGCCGTTGCCGTCGCCTTTGCCATTGCCTTTGCCGTGGGCAAGGCCAAAACAATGGCCAAAACTTTTGGCCGTTGACAAATCTTTTAATATGGCACCGGCATTAATATCTGTGGCGCGGAATTGGAATAATTGGTGCCTCGGGCGCCACCGCCTTACCAGGCAGGACATCTGCCACTCACCTAGATTTTCAGCACACACTCCTATATATCTCTGCCTAACCGCTGGAGCTTTAATATTTGATGAGTTCGCCAAGGACTGTTTGTCCAGAGTCAACAGGGGGCGGCAGTCCTGTTTTCCAGCCGGTAACCGTGTCAAGGATGCAACTGCAACTAAAGCCTTGCTTAAAAGCATTTTCATTAATTTAACCTCTGCTTTTTGGTTGCTGGTTTGCTGGATGCGGGATGTTGGCCATTCAGTTGCAGCTGCCGCCGAACATTATTCATATGACGTTTAATAAAACCAATTAGGCCTCGACACGGCCCATCCACACAATCCATCCATTAGCCAGTGGCATCGGTGGCAGGGCATCGATGGGTCATTGTGGTGCGACTGCAAGTGCTAGTGGTACGGTTGCGGGTGCGGGTGTGTGTGGCTCACCCAAATCCAACCGCAAAACATTATGTTATGCGGTGGCTGTGCGGTCAGGCGTTGCGGCAATTTGCACATTTTTATCACACAACCGCCCCACCCATTCAATCGCGAGATACGATTTTTAAATCCATTCAGTGAGCCTGACTTTAATGCCGCCCGCCCAGCAAATCCGATTGCGACTAGTCGAAATGGCCACAGGAGATCCGCAATTAGCAGCGTAATTACAGGACACTTCTATGGGGAGAATTCACCACAGAATTCCAAGGCAAGAACTCCAATTAAAGTATCGATAACAATGGAATCATTGAACCGGAAACCATAATTATTGCACCGACTGTGTGTGGCTTCGGCATAGAAAATGAAGCCCGGTTCCTGGTGATTTATATGCACAATATGCCAAAACAACTATCCACGGATACGGAGACGGAGACGGATGTGGACAGGACCTGCACATCAGGTGCAGGACGACAGTGGACGGGTGGGGCTGGAAGGAGCATTTAATTATGGGCCAACAATGGGTTCCCAGCAGGACGAGCACAATGGTCTAAACAACAATGTTTGTACAATAACAAAAGATGCTACCCCAGGCGGTAAGAGAGGGGAGCCCGGCAGAGGTGTAGCATAATTATATGCCACAAGAACGATAAACAAAACACACAACCCTACACACACAATTACACTCTACACACTACTCGGCATAGTGCGACACGCACACTTGCCAGCTTTCTTAGGATACTTGAGACAAATTACCAAGACACTGGCAGGCAAGGACTGCAGCAGGACCCAGGCATGGAGCCCACAATTAAATGCCAGGCTCTCGGCAGCCGCTTAAGTTTTAGCACTAAACTTTATCGGCTGCAACAGAATATGGATTTAAATTACTTAGTAGACGGGCCACAAACTTTCGCCGCCCACAATCCGGCGCACTTAAAGTTAAAGCTTAAAGCTTAAAGAAAATGTGTATGTGCATTGGTGGGCGGACGTGGATGTGAGTGTGGATTTGCATAGGGATCAGGACGGGGCTGTGGGCGAGCGTAGAACTTTGCTTGCCGCAAAACCAACCATGGCCAGAAGTTGAGGCAGCACCGTGGATGCTTCGGAATCAATATGAAACAAACTCTGTCATGAAAACTGGCCGCAACCGCCAGTGCGGCAAATGCTTTGAAAGAGCTGCTTATTAAAATTTTTGCCATCTAGCTCGAAAGCACGATAGACTAAAAGACCGAAAGCCCGCAAGCCAGCAAACCATCATGATTGCTGCTGTCAGTCTGGAGATTCGAGTTCGAGAACCATTAAGTAGTCGTCATCTGCACGACATTACAAGCCGCAATCCACGTATTACAAGACCAGTCGATATCAATTCCTGCCTCGGGTCTATACGAGTATTAAAAGGGCTTTGCCGCCCCCTCCTCCGTCACTTTCAATTCCACAATTCCCACCCAAAATCACCCAGTCGTATGGAGACATATTTATTGAATTCAATATGCGAGTTTACAGGACCGCCAAAGCGTGAGAATATTGAGAATATTTCAAACACACACGCCCCAATGCCTGGTAGCCAGCAACTTCATTGTGAGCTATCTGCCATCGCAGAGTCCTTTTCCCTGCAGCACCCTGGCCCAGGCTCATGATTTATTACAGTCTAATGCATATTTTGTGGCTGCAAAAGGACCAAGCTATAAGCTACACTAGGAAAAAATCTTCAATTAAATTAGACATATAAAATATTTATTAAACTACATGACTATCTCACAACCTAATTATTGAAAAATCCCATTTAGGTTTTTATATTAGCCTTTAACTTAAGACCTACGATTTTTTCTCCATGTCACCACTGTTAGTGATCAATTGTAATTTTCTTTCGAATGCAAATATCCTGCAGAGCCAGTAAGAGAGATATACTATACATAGGTGGAGATGGAGGGATATTGTATGGAGCCACATTCCTTGGTTGCTTATTTGTTTTGTCCAGAGCAATCGAATATACTTTTTGATATATTGCAAATCGTATGTGTTTTGAAAGAATTGCATCAATAACACATGTTTGCGGGCCAGTGGCGTTGCTTGTGATAATTTGATTGGAACCTAATCAAAGAAACTGTGCGCCGGCTTGCCTCTCCGTAACTCTCAACCCCTGCCCACTCAGACGGACTCTAATTTGATATGTATATTAAGTCTATATACCCTAGTGAAAAGTCTCTGTGCGCCTTTTGGTTTATTGAGCTGTTGATTTTGATACTGGCATTTAAATGGGAAAATTTCGGTCCAGGCACAATATCAGCACGTCAATGTGTGTCCTTGTGTCTTTGTCCCAATTTATGGACCAGCCAAATGAATGAAATCCCCAAGAGCTTAAGCTAAATAAAACAGAAAAGAGAAAAACTAGAGGACCCAAGGAGACAAAAAATAAAATAAATACAAAATCAGAAACTCGGAGCAAACAACCATCGCAAACAACAAACACCAACTGCCAACTGCCGGCCATTCAGTTGGCCCCAAAAATATAATAATGCATAAGAAATGCCCATAAAATGGGATGAAGGCATCTGGCATTGTCCTTGATTTGGCCAGCGCACAGCAGACATAATTTTTAACAGCTGTAAAATAATGCCGCCACAAGTATAAATAAATGCCAGTCCCGAATTAAATCAAACTATGCCCCGGCGGGGTCACAAAAAATGTGGATTCCGGGGGCCACTTCCAAGTCGAAGACGCGTAAACGTCGTTTTCTCTCATTCAATTTGCATTCGGGCCGCATTTATTTATTCAAATTGTATGATGTCCTTGCCCGGCCCCACTTTGCATACATTTCGGTGGACAGTGGGCATCCTGAGACTCAAAAGCGGGTGGTCAGTGGGCTTTTTTTGTTGTTTATTTCAGACCAGGCCGTTTCTAATGTGTTTTCTCTTCTCTGTTTATTTTCTTTGCAGTGCCACCGAGGATTCATCACATTAGCACCGGCGGACATTTGCAAGTCAAAAAGGGCTCGTCGGTGCGCATCGAATGCTCGGCCACTGGCAATCCGATGCCGAATGTGACTTGGAGCCGCAAAAATAATATTTTGCCCAACGGTGAGATTCCGCATAAATGCGAACACGAGTGCCGTAGCCCAAGTAAAAAATGAAAAACCAAAAAAAAAAAGAATGTCAGGAGCCAAAACAACAGAAACAAAAACAAACACCAAAACCAACCGACCAGCAACCACGCAAATTAAAATCATAAAGAGCAACAAAGGACGAGGCAAAAGTAAATGAACACAGTCGTAAAAGAAACTTTAAACAATTTCCATAAAAATGGAAAGTCAAAGAAATTATATTTTCCGCCCCGCCCGCCTCGCTCCGCCTTTATTATTAAATATAATGCTTACTCTTCCGGCAACGTTCAGTGAGTCCGGCAGTGTCCGATGCATGGTGGCTCGGTTGGTGGTTTCTGGTGTCGGGTGGTCTCGGGTGATGGGGTGGTGACCCGCGGAGAGGAGACTACGGCCGGACATCACTGTCACTTGGCCGCACGTTGATTCCTCGTAATTGGCTCTGTCATTTCTTGGGCTCCGGCGGCTCTTGATGCTTCGAACCTCTCCGACCTGACCTTATTGAGTTGCATTTTTCATGCGGTTTTCGTGGGGTATGCCCCCGATTTCTTTTGTTCTTTTTTTTATTTCTTCTTCCAGGCGAGGAGAAGCTACACTCGCACGTCCTCTCCATTGAGAACGTGGATCGGCACAAGGGCGGCGTATACATCTGCACTGCAAACAATCGTGTTGGTCAGCCCGCTTCCAGTCAGGTCGTCCTACATGTCCTGTGTAAGTACCCCATAAACTCTTTAAAAAAGTTACTTTAAAGATGTTTAAATAGTTTAATTAGGCGCCCTGCTTTATAATAAAAAATAAATTGTACATATATTTATTTTTCCTACAAGCTTGATTATTTTTTTAAGTGCCTTTCAACTCACAATGGAAGTGAAACGAATTAATTTTTTCAGAACTCCGTTCTGCCACGAAGTTCGACTGTCAGTCCAATTTATGTCAAATCCGATTTCGATTTCCAACTGGTTCTGACTTTTAACGCTCACGAGGCACCACATGCAGTCAAGTAGATGACGATGGCAGTCAAACGTGGTACTTTCAGGGGGCAGAACTCGCCCGTTGTTTGCCACTCGCCGCAGAGTGGAGTGCCTTTATTACGTTTACACACTTACCGACATTTATTGGGCTGGCTTGTAATTATTGAAATGCCTTGTAGAGACTACCGGCCATTCTGACATTTATTAACAATTTATATATAATTTTGATGAAAATTGTAATGGCAGTGTGTGCCAATTAAAGGACTTTCGTCACTATTTTCACTTTCGGTTTCATTAGCCGGCAGGCATTGCTGGAATTTGGCCATTGATTTCTTTCTCGTTCAATGCAAAAAGGACTATGTTTATGTTATTAACTAATTTCATATTACATTCTCCCTCTTTTCTTTTCTTTCTCATTACACAGTCTCACCGGAAATCTCCGTGGAGCGACCCGTGGTCTTTTCCGGCGAAGGGCACGAGGCCACGCTGGTCTGCATTGTCCACGGCGAAACGCAGCCTGAGGTATGTTTTAATTAAATTTCATACATAAATTTTCATTATCGCACTTGCTCACTTGGAAGCACGTACACCCACACAACTCTACTCATGCTCAGATACTGAGTCCCATATAAAGAGAAATGTCCGCAGATATATCCATAGATTTAGTCATCGAGGCGACTCCATTGTTTGCCAGCAGGCGGTTGCTGCCACAACGCATTAATTAAAAGTCTACAAAGGCAAATTGAAGTGCACTACAAAGTGCAGATGAGAGATAAAAAGGACGAATACGAATACAATAAAGGAAGACGCCGAGCATAATTTTAATCAAACATCGCACACAGCGTGCGAGTGAGACACAGCCTGTCGCCATTCCACTCGGTATTGCATTTTTTTCGTAAACGAGTATTTCTGCAGTAATTTCAACTTCACTTTTAGCCAGGCCGGCACTCGCATTCGCACTCTCCGGCAGCCCCTTTGTCCCTCGTCGGTCCTCTTCGTGTTTATTTTTGTGCTTTGCGCCTTTTGTCGACATTTAAATTAATACGCTCGGCTATAATTCAAAGTAAAATTGCGGAAGTTGCCAAAGCGGAAGTGAGAAGCGGCGAGAGCCCCGAAAAAAAAAAATAACAAGAGAAATGCCAAAGAGCTGAAAAGAAACCCGAAATGACATACCGCACACAGCCAAGAAAAAGCAGAGAAATTACTTACTAGGGTGACCCTATGAGGGCTGAAAATTCAATATGTAAATCAATAAAAAGATTAAATGTGTTTTCAGCCAAAAACATGACTTAAAGAGTAATTCTCTTTATGACAACGCGGCGTATGCGTTATGTTGATTGAATATTACTAATACGCCATGTTGGCATACTGAATTTTCAATTGTTTTCAATTTGACAACAAAATAACCTTAAATAGTTTAAAATTTTCGCATTTGACTTTAGGACCACACTGCGTATGAGCAATATGTTTCCTTGAATATTTTTCCTTAGTTTATTTAAGTTATTTTAGCTAAAAGTTCGTACAAGTCCACCCTAACGAGTGGCCCAGTGGCAGTCCAAATAATGACTTGCAACCGCAAATGTCAATGCTTAAAATTATACAGCTCCCGTTTCATTTCACTCCGTTTCGGTCCTGTTCCATTTTTGGCCCGTTTCGTGCTGGGTCCTGTCTGGGTTCTGACTTCTGACTACTGACTGCTGACTCCTGACTGCCGGCCCGTTCCGCGAATTCCGACAGCGCATTAAGTTTTTATGCTATTTAATTTTTAACATTTTTTGTTGGCCCTCGTTTTGTGGCCGCAAAGAGTTGACTGCTTTCCAGCGAACAGCGTAACTATTTATTTGCCAGCTAGCTGCAGCTTTTTATTTGCTCTGTCCGACACATTTCATTATGGTCGTCGCTGCCCGCCATGCCCCCCGTGGTCCCCTTTCTCCCCACGTTACCCTTAATGTCCTGCCCCTGCTGCTAGCAGCGTCGGCGTCAACGCCTCCTGCTTTGCATTGTGCATGCCATCTCCAGTTGACGAGGACGTGGCGGGAAGAACGGGAAGAGCGGTGGGCGGCTGATGGCAGCGGGGCGTGGCATTTAGTAGTCTTTGAGAATGGCATTTCCGCATGCAATTTTTACATTGGCCGCCTCCTCCTCCTAGCAACTACGTTGCGCTGGCCGCAGTTCGTCATTTTTCTTCATTCATTTAATTTTTTTTTGTTTTCAACATTTTTTTCCCTTTATTTTGCATCCCTGTGGCTAAGTGTATACAATTTAACGCTTCCTTTTCATTTCGTTTTCGCTCGCTTTTTATTTTTGTATGGTTGTCCTTTAACGAGCCGCTGGGTCAAAGTACCTGCATATAAAAATTTTCAAGTGTGCCACTGACGCGGCAGTTTCGAGTTTCGAGGCTTTTTAGTTAGGTCCCGGCTTTCCTAAATGTTAATTAAGGAACTCACTCGCATGTGAACTCTCCACCACAAAGGTCGGTTTAATTAGCGTATTAAATACCGGAATCCAACAAATGTATCTGCGGCATTTCACCATTGTTTGGAATTTTAGCTTTACATCCAGCTATTGGCGTCCACAAAAGGTGGAACAATATCACTGTGTCGCCGAACGAATGAGTCCTGATGGAATATTGAAATTTATATGGACGTAGATTATGACATATCATTTATTGTTCGCATTGTCCGGCAGAGTGCATTTTTAATTATGTCTTGTCAGCGGCGAGGAGGCTTTTGCGGTGGAAAAACCGCAAACTATGCGGCACTGGAGCAGCATATTAATTATTTAGCGCGCATTGAAAGCGGTCCCCCACACACAGAGCCCTGGCACATCCATTGGCACTTATGTGCATATTTACATATTAATTACGCATTGCACCACAAGCCCAAGTCTGGCGTATTCATAATCCATTGATATTGTCGATTTGTTGCATAATGAATATCATAAACAAGCACTAAGCTGTGCCTGCTCCATCCGAGTGCTCCTATTCCGCCAGCTACTCCTGCTACTCCTTCTCCCACAAGTGCCCCATCGACGGCAACAAAGTCATTAGAGCAATTGTCATTAACATGAGCGACGGCAATGAGACAACATCATTATCAACGTCAACGGGCAACGGGCAACGGCATTGTCAACGTTGTCAACGATGTTGTCGCCGTCATCGATGTCGGACGCATTAAACATGCAGCAGCATTTGACAGAGCCATCAACGTCAGCAGCTAACAGCATTAATGGCCGTCCGTATGGACAGCAACTGTTCCCTAATATATACGCCGCACAGCCCCATAGCCCCACAGCCCAAACGCCATACTCACCCATAGCCCAGCGAACCCCGACCCTTGAACGTGGCTGATGAGCTTTCATCGCTCGAGCCAGCTAGAGTGCAGCTATGGCTTTTAATTATTTTGCAAATTAATTTCCAAATTGGTAATTTTCTTCACATTTACACACTCATACTGAGGCCGTAATGAGTTTTTGTTCCGGTCGGAGGACTAGCAGTTAGCCTATTGGCCCGATCTGAAATGAGCTTAGATGAGTTTTGATGGCACAAAATTGCTAAATGATTTCAGGAATCGTTGGAATGGAAATTGCTAGCTAAGAGCATTTGAACAATATTTAATATTAACACTAGCGGATGTGTGTTTATTCAGCAAATAATTTTTTAATCCAGGTGTTTACGGTTTAAGATTCTAAATAGTTTAAAAATTTGCAAATATTCAACAATAAACATAAACTTTATGCATTGCACACTCTATGGCCTACAATTATTTGCCAAACATTTAGTGGCACTCTAAACTAACATTTAACTACCGTAATTAATTACGGGAAAGTTATTTATTGTCATTATCTAATATCTATTAGCATTTCCCTGGGCGGCAGTGGCAGCAGAAACTTTGTGGAGCAGCTGGAACTGGGAGCAGTCGGCGGGTGAAGGCAACAACTTAAGTCAAACTGTGGTCATTAGTAGCGACACCAGCGGTAGCAACACCAGAAGCCGCCACAGAAGCAGAAGCAATTCCTGTTCCACACGCAACTCCATTCCGATTCTCGTGTGTGCGTGCTGGCGTGCCAACGTTGCGTATGCGTAATTCCCACATGCCTCTTGCAATTATTTGGCTTTTCTTTTCGACTAGCTCAGCCTTTGTCGCGTTTTCGCTCCCAGCTGCCACTCGCCCACACACGCACACCTTCGTATGTACAGAACGGACAGCCATCCAACAACACACTTCCTCCAGCAATTTCCGCTGCGCCAGTCGACGAATAATAGATTGCCAGGCAAGGATATCAGCAGAGGAAACCCAAAAAAAAAAAAAAGAAAAGAGGTCCGAATGAGATTCACTTGGCAAAGGCACGCATACTCTCGTTTCTTCCCTTTTTGGCTGATTAGTGTTGATTGGTATTTCTCGCTTTGCTGCTCATCAATGCTAATTTTTTGCTGCTTTGTTTTGCACTTCGGCGGGGAAGAGCTTCAAAGTTTGCCAAGTTTCTGTTTCTGTTTCTGTTTCTGTTTCGATTCGATCCAATTCGATTCGTTTCCTTTTCTCTACTTCACGTGCTCTAGAAAGTAGAAAAAAAACAATAAAAAAGCATTGGAAAATTAAGCGCAAGTGCAAAAGATTGATTGGCACAACATTGGCGCGGATCTATTAATGAAGTGCACACAAGCTAGAGGCAATCAATTGCCGTCCCAATGGGCGACTAATAACATCCTGGCCGTGTAGCAATTAATTCAGTTAGCTGGACCATCCAGCCAGAGGCAAAATATTGAATAAAATAATTTTTGGTCATTTTTATGCCGCGTCAACACTTACGCCTCGTTACGCACGATTGAAGGAAATGGCGCCAGGCCGATGATAGCGCCGGCGATGAATAAAGAGGACCAAGGGTACTCTCAGGATGAGGTTGCCCCCTCCAGGATGAGCTTGAATTAAGGACGAAACGTAAAATCAACATCGCCAGTCAGATCCAACTGGGATAGCAGAAAAGGCATGAAAAACGCAAACATCAACAGTTCGGACAAATAACGGCAAAAAACATTTATGGCATAACTGTAACTGCACACGTACACGTTGTATGACCAATGGGTGGATCTGTCTAACCCGGCCCCCCGTTCGTGTCTGTGTGTGTGTGTCTGTGAGGACGAAAATACGACAACACATATGCACTCCTGACAGCCATTTTAATGGAATATGCGGCATAACACTGCCGTCGTTAACTAATCCCAACCAAAACGTGGCAGAGGATCTGCAAATAAATACTAGGACTCGAAAATAGAAACCCCAGATAGCAACCACACATTCATACATATGTATTCCTTTCTTCCTCACATTCGTTTGGTGGCCTCATAATTTTTTCATCTATTTGTTTTAATATTTTTGTGCCTTTGTGGGTAGCTGGAGATTGGATTTTGGTATGTGCGTCATGCCATAGAGCACCTGCTGCTGCTGGTGCCACCAATCCCGACCGCCACCCGTATCCCCTGTTAATTCGTGCGTTCTGTCCTTGCTTATCTCACATCCTGCCGCTACCCGGCGTTTCCTGGCATATCCTGTCTGCGAACTGTCAGCACGGCGACAGCTCGGCGCTTGCAGCGACTCGCGCCCAATTCATTTACAAAACACGCACAGCCCGTCCGTCTGTATCTGTCCCTCATAGTTGGGATACGAGCCACGTTGTATCGGGACCTTTGCGGGATGTGTTTGCACAGGACTCGTAGACTTTTGGGGCTCGCACTTGACACACAAAACATGTTGTCGAGACCGGCTGCTGCAAAATATGTAACAAACAAATAGAGACAAACAATGCAGAATCGAAGATGAATTTCGTTCACTGCCATTGGGAACAAAAAAATTTTGATTGTAAAATCAATACTCATTGCCGGCACGTCGATCTGGTTTTCAATTTCAAGAGAAATTACGTTTAATTGACGCTCAAGTGACAGCCAGTAAGGAGTGGAGTACGCAAGTGGATGTGTAAGTGGCAGTGTAGGTGGAATTGAAAGTACTCGCCGCAAATCGTCTTAACTTTTGCCCCCATCTCGACCCCGGCCATCTCGAGCCAAGAAACTCCCAGGCCGTTACCTCAATCTGAACCCCAAGTTTAGGTGTACAGAAAACACAAAACCGAATCACGCACACATAAAGATACTCACCCACTCACCGACTCACTCACTAACTCGCCAGTTAGTTGGCCAAGTCGTGCTCGGATCCGGATTGACCAAGTTTTCAATTATTTACAGGTAATTTGGTTCAAAGACACCATGCAATTGGATACCACGGAGAGGCACATCATGGAAACGCGCGGTTCAAGGCACACGCTGATTATACGCAAAGTGCATCCACAGGACTTTGGCAACTACTCCTGTGTGGCCGAGAACCAGCTCGGCAAGGCACGCAAGACCCTGCAGTTGAGCGGAAAACCGAACGTTGCCGTTTTTAATTCACCGCCAATCAGTCAGTACAAGGACAGGTAAGTCGATTCAACCAATAGTCGATTTCAGCTACTTTAGGAAAGAAAATAAAAAAGTGAGCAGGGCACGTGCCAGGTTGGCGCAGTTCTCGACTGCCTAATTAGGATTTCGAGAGTCGAAAGAGCTTTCCGTGGAGTCCATCAATCCCTGGTAACTGACCGTAAAATGCAAAATCCAAAGCAAACGTCAGATTTGGAGGGCTGATTGCACTCAGATGATGATGCACTGAGCTCGCACTGGGCAACTTTATTAGATTAATTTCGTTGACTGACATGGCAACCGGGGGAGAAGAGGGACTGACTGACGAATAGAGGGACAGAGGGAGCACCCTGCGAATACGTAACGTATGAAACTTTTAATTGGATTAGCTGTCATCAAACACACGCACACCCACGCTCGCCCTATAAGTGGGCAGACAAAGGGATGTGGAGCTGGGAGCTGGGAGCTGGGAGCTGACAGTGAAAGGGAATGGTACCGAGGGGATAGGGGATAGGGAAAGGTAGTCAGCGAAGCGGCAAACAAGCTCAATTCTCATGTCACACCCGAACAAAGTGGCAGACGGAACAGAGCGCAGAGACAGGCCGACAAACCGACAGTTAGATAGCTTTACACGATTTAAAAGAAAAAATAAAAAAAATTTATATATTGGTGGAAGGGAATGCCACTGGGGCACCTTTCAATAATTCAACTCGGTTCGAATCCAATTGAAGCTGAAACTGGGGATTTCGGCCATTATAATTTTAGGGCAGCCATATTGCGCATACGCCCCGTTAGCGATAGCATAAAGCAACTTTTGGCCAAAAGCAACTAACCGAGGCCAGCGATAGCCATGTCAACTTTTACGCTGATTTCATTTCGTTTCATTTGGTTTGATTCGCCACCGGAAACTGCTGCCGGCAATTAAGCTACCAAAAGCCCGAATCGAACACACAAAGTACCCAAAAGCGATTCTCGCTTTCCCCCCAGCGAGCATTTCCCGCCCTCTGACATTTTCCCCGACTGGCGCCAGTCGCCGGCTCTTCAATTGTTAATAATCATTTTTATTGCTTGCGTTAGTTTTATGCTATATGCGAAAAGTTTTCTGATTGGCGTTTTATGTTTTTATTGTGCCCAGGACTTGAAGTTATTAGTTGGCATGGCCCAATAATCATACGGAATACACAAACGAGAGCAAAACAAAACAGGAAGAAGGTCCTTGCCAGCTCGGCCCACTTGTTTACGGCCTGGCTTTTGCAGAGGCACATTGCCCATGCTGATTAACATTCAAATTGTGTGCCGACTTTATCGCAAAGCAATGAACTTGCGCCTTTGTAATGCGCCCCATCCTCCATCCTCCGAGCGCGACATCCCGGCTAAATCTGGAGCCTGTTCATGGGACTCGTAATTAGTTGTTTACTTGAGCAGCTCGCTCCTCCGGAGTGTGCCTATAAATAAGTTTTGTTACCGGACTAATGAGCTCCGACAAAGGAGACGGAGGACTGCTGCTTTAAAGCTTCCGATAACCAGTCTTTAAGCCAGCGGGGCCATTGACCAAAAATGCATTTAGCCAACCCTCCAGTGCTGGCTCTCGGTTCGCCCTAATCATGGCACAATGCACACTGCGATATAACTCCATTTACACTTGAGCTGAGAATGTGGCAGGACTGTTGGCCTTTCGGTTGAATGGACGTATTGTGGCAGGACCAAGGAACGGGGGTAGCTGGCCAAACAAGCAGCCAATAACAAAGGAGCGGGTGAGCATTATGTCGGGACTGCAGTTGCAAAAGCAGCAGCAGCAGCAGGAGCAGGAGCAAGAGTTCCTTCAGACGCAGTATCTTAACCCCGCCATTGTCGTCAGGCATTGATTACGTTGTTGTCGTTTTGTTGTCCTGAATCCTTCAGATTCTGACTGCAGCTTGCGTGCTAGTAACAATAGCTGCAGCAGCAGCAGCAGTAGCAGCTCTCAATAGAGAATTTAACAATTACATATTGATTGAACCCGCCTTGGAATAAGTCCCCACGCCAACTGTTGCGCGCAAAACTTTGCGATAACCGGAGCCACTTACTGAACCCTGTTCCCCTTTCTCCTTTCCAGATACAACATCTCCTGGGCCGTCGACTCGCACTCTCCCATCGAGGAGTATAAGTTGTCCTTCCGCAAGCTGCCACAAGGACACGAGGTCGTTGGCAACTCCATCGATTCCCCATCCTCTTCGTCCTCCTCGATGTCCTCCTCGCAGATGTACGGCTCCGGACTGCACTCACACCGGATGGGCAGCAACTTGGGCGGTGGCATCTCGGGCAGTTACTCCGGCTACGGTAACATGATGCACTGGGGCCACAACGATTGGCGCAACGTTGTCCTGCCGGCCATCCCTCTGTCCCATCACTACGCCCAGGGCATGAGCTACATGATACGCGGCCTGGATCCCGATCAGCACTACGAGGCCACCGTGCAGTCCAGGTGAGTTGAAAACAATACAGCTAATACAAGTTGAGTAACAAATAGAGAACTTGCATTGCTTTAAGAAGTTTCTGAAATCTTTACTTTTTCCTCTTACCCTTTTCTTTAGAAAAGGAGTATAATTTAAGGAGATTTAAGGAGAATATTATATTCCTAACCAGTATAATTAGAGAAATTTGAGACACTTCAGAGTAGAATGCCCTAAACCATTTAAATGCTAATGCACTTAGCTCAGATCATTAGCAGGCATTTGCATATTAATATTCACTAATGGCGCTGAGCCACATCATTAATACACCAAATGGTTCTCAATTACAGGAATCGATACGGCTGGAGCGATTTGACCAACAGCTTCGTCTTCTCCACGTCATCTAATGGTGAGTTCCAGATTTAAAATTTAACAAATAAGGAAGATAATTTAAAGGAGGCAGCCCTTTGAGGGCATCCATAGCTCGGCTTGCTGTGGCTTAATTCCGATTTCTTTGTGTACTTTATGTTGCTCGCTGCATGCATAATAATTTGGTATTAAGCTCTGCTTTCGCTGATAATCCACAAAAATCCCAATAAGGCTGCAGCAAGCACACAAAAAGACAAGCCATAAAAAGGCAAATGAAAAAAGGACGAAAAAGTATCTGAGAATCAATGTGTATCGCAGTATCAAAAGAAAAATATGCTCCAACTGTGATAACTTAATGCATTAAAATTTATAACTGAAACGAGATCCAAAGTCGGGCAACTGAGGCGTGAAGCGAACACGTCGTTCTCTCGTTTATATTCGTTGTGAAAATTTCAGCAATCATTTCGCACTCATATTCGCGCACCAAAAAATGCACATGCACAGCATGTCAGATATCTTGCACCTTTTGTGCACTCACAGGTGGAAATCGTCGCAGGTCGGAATATTAAGAATCCTTTTATTCGGATTGAGTGGGAAATTTGATAGGGTCTTTAATATAAATACATAAGATTATATTACATAAAGGTAGCAATCTTGTATCTTTCATACATCATTGTAATCCCTGCGTATATCAAGTATACGCACTGTGGTCTACTATTTCGTCCAGAACGTTTTAGTCTCAGTATAAGCTTAGGTGCTTAGGTGTTACCCTGACTCGTCATAATTATGGTGAAAAATAGAATAGGAAGCCAAGACAAGATCTCTAATTGGATGTGAGTGTGCATCTTGTGCAGTTCCTTGAAAGTCACCTTTGGGTGCGGCGATAAATAAACAAAGAAGCAGCCCCCCGCTTGCCCAGCAGAAAGGCAGGTGGGTTGAGATCTAAATGCGCGCTCGGAATCCATTTGTATGCAAAACTATTGTTGCATTGCATACAGAATTTCTGCGGCATTGACTGGGCGGGAAAATGCGAGAAAACTCGGTGGGAAAGCGCGCACAGAAAAGCGATTTTCCATGCAAATGACGCACATTTGCCGGCGCCGCCTTGCCATCTTTTGGCTGCCGCTGCGAAATGCATGCAAATGCAAAATGGTGCACAGTTCAATGCCGCCTTTGCCGCCATTTTTGCGGCTGTTGCAGTGGCAAACAGACGCATAAATATGCAGCAGCCGTAAAAACAATAACAAAAGCCAAAAGGAATATGCAATAAACACGCACATGGACCAGTGAGGAGATGCTTTCATACATTCAGTTGCCAGGCTGCTAGGCAGCCAGCCAGCCAGCAGGACGAAACGAAGCGGCGAAAATTCAATAAACCAAAACGTGAATGCCGCCACGCAATAAAAGGAGGAACTACATATCAGGATGCAGGGCGCCTGAATTCAGCAGCCGGGAAGATATCGATGTCACCTCACCGAGACGTGTTTGTTTTGACAGGTTGCACCCCGACACGTATTCTCTAGGAGCAGGCTCCACACAAAGGACTTCTTTAATACTGCTATAGGTCTCGTACTTCATTACGCGCCATTGAAAAGGAAGCTTCCTAGATCCTGGCATCCTTTTTCCTTCCGAGCCATCGAACCACAACTTCGTTGGCGGCAATTTATGGCTGTGCTTTGTACTAATGGAAATGACTTCATTATATTTTCCGAACGTAAACAATTTTCGCAATTAGTGGCCGAGCATGCGATGCAATAATAACCGCAAAAACATCACCAACAACAAGGTGCAATCGAGCAAAGCGGCAACTAATGAGCACCGAGTGTCATAACTGGGGTCCTGTTCGCACAATAACAATAACACTAAAGGAGGACAACCGTCCGGGCCCAGAAAGGCAAGATGGCTCCTAGAGTAAGCCTGGAGTAGTTCATTTACCTGCATTTCTCTGGGATCTAGGACTGGCTACTCAGAGAAATAAGGTGGCATCTGCAGTTGCGTTTAAAAGCTGGAGGTAGACATGTCAGTGCTGCAAATGGCATTTGAAAAGACAATGATACTTTGTCTCATTTCTAAACATCGTAGAACTAGGTCTTTAATAAAAGGACAGTTTTAAGAAACTTTAAAATATGTAATAATTATTAAATCAATAGAAGCTCACTGTTCTAATTAGATAAATTGCTTTGAAACTAAAGCAAACTCCGTGGAGTAATCTAAAAGATTGTAAAGAAGCGACGCCAGTAGGTCCCAGCTTAAGGACTCCCAAAGGGCATATGAACTTCGATTTTTTGTTGGTCCTTTCGCCACATTATCCCCATTGAGAATGCCCTGTAAGTGCATTTAATTTTTACGAGTCTTCGTCTACTATTCTCGAGTCCCATTGTGCCGCTGATGTTATCCTTGTTGGCATTGTTTTTGTTGTCATTGTCATAGACTCGATGCGTGGCGGTTGATGAGGGGAGGATATGGCCGGGGGGGTGAAGGTGAAGTGGATTACAAAAGCAGGAGGACACTGGAATAGACTCGGGCCAGGTATGCAGCTATTTACATCATGGAACTCAGTTATTGTAACGATGGCAGGGCACGCGGAACTAGTTTCTGCCGAGGGGAGGGGTCAGAGGTCAGGGGGTCGTGCCCCAGCCAGCACATAGAGACATAAAAAATAATGCATTTTGTGCACGCGAAAAAATACTCGACATAAAGCAAAAAAAGAAAGAAGTTAAATAAAATTACAACATAAAGTACGACAACGAGTGTTCAGTCTGCGATGGTGTGCGAATATATGTACGATATCAGTTTTTGTGCAAGTTTGAGTGTTTGTATGTGTGTGTGTGTGTGGTGGACGGGGGGGTGGGGGCTGGAAGAAATATCAGAAAATGAAAGACTCGTTGAAAGTTGCGTAAAACTTGCTGAAACTGCCAACTGAGGAGCGGCAGCAATGGCAGCCCCAACAATAATAACAACAACAACAACGAGGCATTCAAACGATGACAAAGTGGACCCTCACTGCATGTCCTTAGAATGCGTCGTCGCTGCTGGCACTGAGCGTCTGCTCGAAAACTTTCAATTTACTCGTCCTCATCCTCGTCCTCATCCTAGGCGATGGCGACGGACATCGTATCCTTGCCCCTAGGATCCAGAGGATCCCCGGGTCTTCCCGCCGCTCCTATGTGCGTTTGAAGCTTTGTGCTGCCGCTGGGAATACTTTAGCCGACTGCAGCAGCGTCATCGCTTTTTCGCCATTCTCTGTTCATACTGCGCTTTATTTTTTGCTTTGTTTGTTGCATGTAAGTAGCAAACTTTGCCGAGGCACATAGTGCATGGGAACAGCGAAAAAAAGATGGCAAAATAAAGGGCGCAAAAAAATGTGAAGAAACAAATAAGCAGGAGGGAAGGCGATGGGGAGCCGGCCCAAGTTTTGTAGTGGCAGCATAACAAGCACGGGCAAAAATAGAGCACCGCTCAGTTGCAAGATGTGTAATGCGAATGCTCCACGTGAATGTTATGTTTATGTAAAGTGCAGGTCCCACAATGCCGGTCCCGCCGCACACCATCAAGTGCGAGTGGGCGGGCGGGGATGGCGTCCCGGAGACACTGTTGCTAGAGCTTATACTTCAATTTTTTGTTGCTGACTTGCCACAAGTGCTGAGTGCTTGTGCACAAAATCATACCAAACTGCATTATATGCCAGGTCCAACTTTTGCCTGCTCAGCCGGGCTTTAATCAGCAACAGGACCTTTAAGGACGCGGCCAAACCTCTTGACCAGGACGAATGCCAAGTGAGGGGCAAAACCCCACTGAAACAATGGAGGATAAATCTGTGCGGTCATCCCGATGTGTGTGCAGCACTGTTGAAATGTTGCAAGGGCAAACTTGAAAATCCGCGGCTACCTGCTAGTTGGGCAGCTTTTCGCGAATCTCTAATATACTCGCCCTGTGCTGCATCCCGAGCCAATTCTGGCCGCCGGCCACTGGCCACTGTGTCAGCTGTGCGAAAAATCGGATTTGCCTGCTGTGCTTACAAACACCACGATAACCATCACCACCGCCACCAGCACCAGAAAAAGCAGCGGCAGCAACATGCTGCAGCGGAAACAGCAAAATCCAACAAATCCATGTCCGTCCATGTCGATTGCATTCAGCCATTTGTATTTGTTGCCGCACCGCAATGCTATTACGTGAAAAGCGTGGGGAGGCGGAGTTCGAGGAGGAGTCCTCTAAAGCTTGGTTAGAACGAATCCGGATCCGAGTCGCAAACCGGACAGGTGCCGAAAGCCGGACCCTCGCCACTGCGGCGACATCGATGGCGGGCAAGCGCTTATTTAGCTGCACAAACGAGAAATCACAAGTGACGTTACGGGTTTTGTGCCGCCAACCGCAAGCAATAAAAGTCGCAACGAGCGACAGCCGTAGGGGACTTCGGCGGAACATTAGCCGGACAGCCACATGGTCACGATTGCAGGCACCAATCCTCCATGCTCTCTATAGTCCATCCCCCATCCACCATCCGCCATATACTCTATCGTCCATTTTTCCAGGACCTCGTTTACGGCGCATCACAGGTCCGTGGCCGCGTCTGTTTTCATTACAAAATTGCCAACGTTTGCCCGGCACCGCAATTGACAATTTGCTTTTATTTTATGTTGACAGTTGGGAAATTTATATGGTAATGCCGGTGTGTGCACGAGCGTGCCTCCATGGAGCATTGCATTTGATCGCCTCCCGCCGGCGAGGCAATTTTTCTTAGTCGCTTTACCGCCAGCCGCCGACTAAATGGCCAAATGAATGGAGAAATATGAAAGCCCCTGGAGAATAGATGCACTTAAAGAAATTGAAATGATTGTCACTATTTTTTTCTTATTTTAGTGCACTCTTGGTGAAATAGATTTATATGCAAGATTAAAGGCATCTTCTTTTGACATTTTCACTTTTTTTTTTTGGTTGCAAAGGTGTCATGTTGCGAGGCGTTGGCAGCCCAGATGCCTCAATAGATAAGCTGTCCCGGTTGCTAGCCAAACATGCCATGTGCAACATGCAACCTACATTGATATCTGTCTGCTTCAGTGCTCTCCTCAGCTTCGCTACTTTCCGGCATCCGATGTTGGCTGTCTATTAAAAGTGTCAGCAATCACTGAGTAACTTCGACGCCTGCCTCTCAGACTGGTTTCCGACTCCTGATGCCTTAGGTGTGGCCATCAAATATTTATAAGTTTCCTTACCGCCCGCCAGTGCAACTTCTGACAACCCTATCACGCTGAAGAAGCTTCGACATTTCATTAAAATCGATGTCTGTCCGATATGTATATGCACGGTTATATCTGGTATCTGGATGCTCTTAATTTACGTGTGTTTACTGAGTCGACGGCGCCTTTGAAGGCTTCCGCAGATCGGTTGTCCGACCAAATGCTCATTTGTCATTATTGACAGATGTTGCACGTTGCCTTTTTAATTGGCGGCCTTAACGAAATGAGCCGCCCGGCGAGGAATGACCTCGCCGTCAGTGGGTGGGCTTTCGTCCAGCCCGCTGACTTTTCCTGCCCACTTGATTGGCCACCTGCATCCACATCCGCAACGGCTTCGGCAACAGCAGTCGTCTGCGCAAAAGTAAATCCCTCTGATTGCAGATTGCACTTTAAGCGTTAATGATTTATTTACCCGCATGGATTTGATTTAAATGTCGGTTCGGGTACGAGCAGAAGTAAGGACTATCATTTATTAAAAACCCGCACAACAGGCTCCACACTCTGAAGAGTTCACTTTAAATTTCCCAATGCACTCCACTACTTTCAACTATCCTAATTTTCAACGACTCTGCTCCACGTACTAATTGCAGATGGACCTGTCGATCTGTCAACATATTTAAATCACGGTCTGTCAGGTTAGTCAGCCCTCTCTGTCTGCCCACTGTATCTTTCTCTCTCTATCTCATGCTTTCTCTTTCTTATTCTATACATCTCTGTCACGCTCTCTATTTGCATGTTTATTTCTGCATGATATTCATTTTATAATACCTTGTATATACGGCTCAATATTTGTGCTAAGCCGGCTTGAAATAAAAGAAATAAGAATAAAATTGGAAAAACCATTTGTATTGTACATATATATACATACATACGTATCTGTATAGAAACATTATATCCCCTGCGTGTATTTGCCGGAGCAGTTTACCAACTATTTGGCGTGCCATTTCCGTTTCCGTTTCGATTCTCGATCAACAACAGAAAACGAAAAGCTGAAAATCTGAAAAACCTGAAAACTAAAAACTGGGCATTGAACAAAAAATAAGTTTTAATGCGTGCCATTGAGAGTCCGTTTAGATGGCAGTAGTTTGTGTGTGTGAGTGCAGGTGTGCATGTGTTCGTGAGTATCTGTGTGTTTGAATGGTGGCTATTGAGTAAATTTCAATCTGTTGACTTGCATGCCCGAAACCAATTTTTTTTATGGCTATAACCCAATGAATATTGAAATGAATTTAATATGCGCTCTGGATTTTCTCTGTCTATGTATATTATGAATACCTCTCCAATGCTATTTTTTCTAGCGAGCTGATATCGAACGGATTAATAAAAACTGAATCTTTATCTATCTATCTCTCTGTGTTGCAGATAACGAGATGCGGGATCTGAGTGTGACTTTCTACGGAAGCAGCGCCATCAATCGACAGAAATTGAATCTCTTCGCCCTCAGTTCGGCCACCTTGACTCTGAGTTTACTTCTGGCCTAATTGCAGTCTTCAGTTGCCTGAGTTACGAATTTCACCGCCAATAGCAGTTACGTGAACCGATTTTGAGTTTTCGATTATTCGAGGTCGATGTCTACATACACACTCTAGTCGTAAATGGTAGCCTAAGAGATATATATACATATATGTATTACTAAGCGTATTTATAACATTCCTGCTACGATTTCTCATTGTTCGATTCGAATTTCTCAACCAAGCAAAGAGTTTAATGAATTAATCACAAAACCAAAAGACAAAAGAAAAATGGAACCATTATACATGTAACAATCAATGTAAAAGAGCATGCAACTGTTCAAACTACATAGGACCCATAAAAATTTTGCTAAATCGCAAAACTGCAACCTACTCACTCACATTCGCAGACCATTCCAGCACTCGAACCAGTGTACATAGATTTTATTGCATACTCTTAGGTATAAACTGCACCAAAGAAATAGTCACTCGACGGCGAACAAAACAAAATACACTTACATATGGCATATACCTAAAAATATATATAAATATATATAGTACGTATTTGGTGGAAGTTGAAAGTTAGTTGCCACTAGTGAGCCGTGGCTCCATGTAACGCGGCTCGCTTTGTCACAATGATCGGATAATTTGTAGTCGTATGCGAATAGTTAATTTAATTAATACATAATGCATATGAGCTAATTACCGGATACGCCATCTCAGCACCGCGCCACACTATCGCGTTTTAGTCAAATTTCAGATTAATGGGTAACATGCAGAAACAAATCGGTGAACTTTAACTAATTTGCATCGCCCGAGTTCAAGCCCGATGGCTTAGTGCAGACAGACAACAGAATTTTTTCCAGCTTTTTGCCAATTTGTATGTATGTAGCTGCTAAGTAGCTTAATTGACCGCAAAAATGCAATTAAATTAGTCAACAAACGTATTGATTTGGTATGTAAATTAATGTACTGCCACAGAAGCCCTGCCAGGAGGTAGGCACAGGCAGTAGCAGATCCGAGTAGCAAATAGTAACTTCCACATGGTTATTCGATTACGATTAGCAGTAAGTGTAAATAAATACGGGGATTGTGAGGGATGAGATGGGAAATGCAGATGGAGGCTTAGGAGGGATTGGATTGGAAGCACTGGAAGGTAGAATAGTAAATCGTAAACTTAATTAATATCCAAAGATACCCAAACACATGCCCCGAAATCCACACGAGGAGTGGCTAGCTCTCGGGCACTGAACAGGGTGTGGCCAAGGTTGTTTTTATGTAAATATATTGCACCACAGACATTTTTGGAATCTCATGATAAATGTACTTACCAGTTCGATAATCGTATTGTTGCTTCTGAACGCAAAACGGCACTGTATTGAATTTGGTTACCCGGCACCCTGTAATATCTGATTTTTTTAGCAAAACCAAACAAAACAAAATAAAAAACTGAAACCAAAGCCAACGGATAATGCACTTTAGAGCATAGTCGATAAACGTAATATTGTAATGAGATCTATTGAAAAGGAAGCCTACGTAATAAATGTATATTTACTTGATTTCTATAATAAACTCAGCCATATACGAGATAAACATTCAGCTTTTATAGGATCTAATAAATGTGAGGAAAAGCGGTCGGAAAAGGACCGAACCGGACCGGAAATTAGCATAGAATTATACATATGTGTAATTAATAAAATTAAACTGTCGATCGATTGGCCACACAAAAGCGTTAAGAGAATTAAACCGCATACCGCAAAATTTAAGATTTATGTTCAAGTGTATGTAAATGGATGTATGCCACAGTAAACGAACGATATGATAAACACCACTGATGAGAATATTACCGACTCCCCTTCCCCCCTTCGTCCCAGCAAAGTTGCTTTGGTCCAGCGACTGGAGCCCATCGATAAGTTAGCTAAATCTAAAGGATATCGGTACTCTAAATATATACATGTATGTACACCTGAATACATAGCGAATGAGCCGTTACTTGTATGTGTAATTTACAGCTTAGTTATAGTTTATACTTTACAGTTATTTTATTTGTTCGATTTTAGTGCTAGTATTGCGAAAATCGAGGGACACACGGCAGAGGGTGTGTGTACAATTCTACTTTAAAGTAATATACTAATACTAACCTACAACAGAACATTTTCGGTATTGGATGTATATGTGACTAGAAACGTATGTGTATGTATATTTGATTATTTTGTAAAATTTTTCAAAAACTATAAATAAAGTCTATATTACCATATAAATGTAAACCCAAGACTTCAACCTTTTCTCTGTTCTCTCATAATTTATGCATGCCCTCTGGGCCGTATTTTTCCACTTCTGATGTTAGATTGCCCCAGGACCGAGGACACTGAACGAGACACGGATGATGCTCATCAAGGACTCTTAGTCTCCCTATCGCCCTGTGTGGGGCAACATTTGGAGACATTGACAGGATAAACACAGTCACAGATAGAGCTACAGATGCATCGCCATCTCCATCTCTGTTTCCATCTTCAGATGGCGATGCAGATGCAGATGCTGATGATTCAGAGTACGGTGTGCATTCAAGTCGAGTGCACTGCTGTTGCAGGAGTTGAAGTTGCGTAAATGCAAACTTGGTTTATTTTATTTACTCCACCGGCTCACCTTTTGTATGTTTGTTCCCCGGTGATGGCTGTGTAGACATTTAAGTGAGCCGGCAGAGATGACGACCCACCCATTCTCGTCAGCCCACATGACGGAATGGAAATGAAAATGGAAAAGTTTTCAGGCTTCCTGACCCCCCCAATCCTGGTGCTCGGCTCTCGGCTGCCAGATTGGAGTAGCAATGGTTACATAAGCCAGCTGCCGTGCCTCACTGCCTGGCATTTCGAGGAAAAACTTTAAATGGAAAATTTGACAGACAGACATAACGGCATTTTAAATATGATCCCAGTCACATGTGCGTCCCTGCTGCATTGTGTGGCCATCAGACATCTAGGGGCGATCTGCCAGGCTGTGTGTTATGTGTTTGTTATGCAGAAAAACTTACTTTTGTGTGTACAATACATGTATAGTTGGGAAAATCTATTTCCAACAAATTGAAAACTCCTGACAGCTAATGAAATTCCAGGTAAGTATTAGGGAACGTGCCGATGGCTTTAGCAATCCTCCCAGCTATGTGTGTGGCATAATATTACCGCTCTAGTGTCTCTATTCGCCTCAAGTATAATTTGCTTGTTAAATAATCTTGAAAAAATAAATATATATAATTTGCCCAAAACGAAACAAATTCGAGAGAGGAGCGGGAACAAAGCACTGGAGGAGGGAAGCGGAGGCAAATTGCAAGGTGCAAATGGCATGAAATTACCGCAAAGAACTGGCGACCCAAAATGGCTTCCCCTCGTTTTCCACAGAAACGAAAGTGAATTCGGGGCTAGGGGAAAGTGGTAGAGGAGCGAAGAGTAAGGGGAAGGAGTGCTGGGGTAAACAGAACCAAAACAAGGCTACGGAATCCTTGCACACGTACATACCAACACTACCAACACATGTAGGTATGAGCACATGTGCGTGTGTGCACCTCATTTCCGGTCATTGTTTTTGGCTCGAACAAAAGTCTGCTGTGCTGCTTGCTGGAACTGTCGTTGGTACAGGTCCTGCTTCTGTTACACTGGAAATTATAATAATTAACATTTTTAATTAAAAATTTCATAAAGAGAGTATATAAAAGGCAGTATCTTATTCTTTACATAATTGAGTATCAGTATTTATTAAATATAGGTAATACCTATTAGGTATTCGATATTAATAATTATTAATTTACTTCGTAACTCCCATTTTGTACTGTTTACCTGTAACATACTTCTTCTGGTTCTGGTTGTGGTTCTGGGACCTGTTCTCAATGCCATTCTCGTTGCCGTAGTCGAGCCTGTTCCACTTCCTGTTGTCGTTTGGCTGCTGTTTTCACGTTATGAGCTACTTGTTGTCCTGCTGCCTGGGCCCACACACACGCATGCACTCGTAGGCCTCTGCATGTGTGTGACATGTTTACATAAAGTCCTTTACTGCTTCTAATGCATTATGGCAACAACACGAACGCCACTCGACGTTGCCTGAATTTATCGTACTATTCGCTGCGAGTGTGCGAGTATGTTTGAAATACCACAGACGACACATCCTACCAACAAAGACACACACGGCACAAACATACACTCACACCGCTGCATAAATATTTGCATGCGATATTTATTATGCTAAAAATAAGCCAAGATTTAAAAGGAGACGAAATAAGGCCAACTTTGCAGGAGCCGGTCGACATCAACACCAAACCAACACCGAGTTGCAGGTGCGAGGTGCATAATGAAAGCATTAGAAAGCTGGGGAGAATATACAAATGTCATGACAACTCTCACTCAAGCAGCCTTCACACCTGCCGAGCCCGACGCTTTGCATTTTCGCCTTTGAATTTTCGCGTTGCACCAGCAGCAGCACCAGCCATTCGCCAGCTATTCGCATTTTCCCCTTTGTGCGACCGGAAGTGGGTCACGTATGCGCCTTAGTCTCCGGCCAAGACAAAGCCAACTGCCGGGGCTCTACGGGCTGTAATTAAGCCCGCCCGCAATGATGACGGGCACGGGCTCGACATTTGTTCCTGAAGTGCCACCTTCACCGCCGCCTCCGCCTCCACATCCGCCGGATGCCAGCTACTCGAGAATAGCATTGGAATGGCGGGGGAAATTAACTTAAATTTTAAAAGCTTAATTCGCTTGCCTAAGACGCCTGTAATGCGTTTAGCGATAGGCATTTGCATGCTTTTAGCAAAGCCAAGCCAAGCCGAGCCGCATCCCCAAACAAAACAGCGTCGAACAAAAGGGAAAACAAGGAGCCGGAATATAAAAACAAAGGCTGGGCGGCAATCTTGCTGAAGCGACAGAAAAAAAATAAATAAAGAAAAGTGCCAAGCTGCTAAATCCATTTTGCAAGCAAAACCCATCCACCCACCATCCTGCCTGGCAGCCTGGAAGCCTGGCTGCGTGTAACAAGTGCCACTCAAAACGGCTGGCTGGAAACAATGAAGGCAGAAAGCACTTAATAGGCTGCCACAGAGCCGTTGACATGGCCATTTATATGCCGCAGCTTGGCAGCGATTTTAATTCATAATGCAAGGATAAGAAAGGCTGTCCCTGCCCAGGCTTCAGGATGTGTCAGTGTTGCAACACTCACCTCTAATCTCGACAGAATGCTCGTCCTGTCACCTATTCATCTCTACTATAACATGGTGCTGTCCTCCAGTCTGAAATCTACACCATTTTCGAATCGATTCCAGATCAATCTCTGTACATTGGCCCGGCGGCGCCATGTCAGTCCGTCAAGGATTTCTAAAATGCTTGAATGGAATCATTTTGCATAGCAACCAGGCTTCAACCAGCACATCAAACTGACAGGAATACCGAATTCCATGATGATTCCAAATGTAATTAATAAACTTAACTCCTACAAGGCCGAATTCTATTTTTCCTATTAGGCAAAAGTTAATTTTTGTTTTTCGATTCCATTTCTTTCAATCCTTCTTAATTAACTGAATGGCAATCCTATCCTAACGAGACGAAAAACATCGATTGGGTACCCCATTGTTGCTGGCCAACTGGCCGTGCCGGTTATTCATAAAAATTTTTCTGTTGAAACGGGCTGGGAAATCTGTCATGAATCAAGCCAACAAGCCAGGGCATTGTGTCTTTGTTTGCTCTTTAAATTGGGACATCGCAACGTATACGTAATATCATTTATAAATACGCCTAACAACATGGGCACCCTCCCACACGTATTGATGTGAAGCTAATGCGACCCCAGAGAATGACTGGCCGGCAATCGGAGTAGGTGGTGGTAGTCCTGTGGCAGTCAGGCTAGGGCCAGGGGCAGGGCTGTAGCAGGATCTGGCACAGGAGCGCTAACGAGCTGTGCCTTGGCTGCAATTGTTGCCAGAGCTGAATGCCAAAGCAAATAGCAGCTGAGGGGCAACTGAAACTAAAGTCAAATGCAGCAAAAAGAATTGTAAAAAACGAGCCAAGAGCAACATACAACAAATGGCAAGTTTGGCCGGCGCCAGGGACACCAAAGGCAACCAGCGATGGGAGGGATTTCAGAACTGGGCGTGGCTAAAGAGGACTGGTGGCGGTGGTGCTGGGGGTATACCACATAGCAGCAGCAAAATCAGAAAATCCGATTTGCATGGATTTGTTGGTTTCTTTTGTTGGCGCAGAGTATCCTTGCCACTGACGCCGATGCTGTTGCTACTATTATGTTGCACAGAATTGTTGCTGTTGCTTTTTACTATTGCCGTTGACTTTGTTATTTTTTCTTAATGTCTGCTCAATGAAAAAACGGCTAGCAATTCCACAGTATCCCTGTTGCCTCCGGCATCGCACCGCCTTTGGTGCCCCGCTGAATTTTGTTTGTTTGTTTGTTTCTGCTAAATTGTGTTTTCCCTGTTCATTCATTCGTTTGGCTTCCCCATCCGTTTTCTCTGGCTGCGGAATTTTTCAGTGATTTTACATGTAAGCATCCTTGTGAGCTCTGTGGCATGTCCACAATTGAGGCAACCACTCCGAGTCCTTGCCCTCGTCGCAATCCCAACAGGATCCGCTTCGCCTATCGTCCATCTCGAATCCCTGTCCGATTTTATATGTTTACCCCCCGCTTACAGTTTTCTTTCCTGTTTCTCCCTATTTTTAAGCTCGCAGTTCGTGGAACGAACGGGGTATATTGTTTTCGCTCATAAAGACGTTTTTCCAAATAAATGTTTAGAAAATGTATTCAAAAGTCTCATCAACGGGGGATTTCTTCTTTTAGAGAAAAAGGATTAAATAAGACAATTCAAGATTTTTTCATTCCTTTCTGCTATGAGACCATCTATTTTGTTTAGTCCTGAACTTTCTTTTTATGCATTTGCTGAGTAGCTTGATTAAATTTTTAAAATCTATCTAAATCCATCTAATTCTTAATTCTAAAGATTAAGAACT